AACGTACATTAAATCATCATTGAATATCGATGTGTGTTTACATGTTCATCTCTGTGCTGCAGGCAGAGAAAAAAGGCTGGAGTTTTAAACAACAGACAGAATCAGGTCAGAAGATTCATAAACAGCTTCATTATGTTGTTCTTTTATTGTTTTAGTATTTGATTTCTCATGTTGATCATGCTGGATTCATCATCAGCGTTTGGCTTAAGCAGAATAATTAGTTTTACACTTTCCATTCTGACTTGTTTTCCCAGGTTCAAGATCCTGGCAGACACGTCTATGAAAATGATTCATTTGTGAACGTTTCACCCAAGAAAACATATGTCGGACAAACTCCTCAACCCACAGATCCTGAGACGGTCGAGTACATAACCGTACATTAAAACCAGCATCTCCAGCCTGATTCTGCTCTCAGGTGAGAAACTAAACGACCTAAAGCACATTCACTTACATTAGAGTTTCTGGCGCCCACCCTTTGAAAGCCCACCTGTCTGACATTTCCTCCAAAATATTTGTCTGCACAAAAATGTGATGGCATCTGGGATTGCAGCTGGATGTTATTGGGAGATCACTGACAGGAACAGTGCACAGCTCCACCAGAGCGCATCTGAAGCTCATATGCTAATTATATTTACCGTCTATAAACACCACTGAGCCTCGCTAGATCCTCCTGTATGGGCGTGCATTTGTTATAAAACACTTGCAGGACTTTAATTTGCACAAATATGCGCATATATTAAATTGTTCACAAAAATACACAGAGACACTTTCACTTCACACATAGTGTGTGACTGAACAGATGCAAGTGTACGGGTCGCAGATGCAATCATGAGGCTGTTTTTGCACCAAATTTGAAGTAATCACAGAACACAAAGTGCATTGCTTTGATTATTTTAATATCACATACTGATACTGAAATCAAAATATTATAATACAATATTGTGATTTTAATCTCGCGGCCCACCTGCAGGATTGCTGAGGTCCACCAGTTGACAATCTCTGGCTTACATGATATAAAACATTTACACTAAGTATTTCATTTAGAGTTCGGCTGATAAATCCTTTTTCTGATTTCATGGGCCAACATAATGCTGCTGATCTGACATTTTCTTCAAATGTATTTTACAGAACATATAACACAAACCAACTGCTTATAATTGCACTAATAAATTGCACATGAATATGACTATAGTTCGGACATTCACAGTTATTCAGACGCTGCATGAAGCAAAATGTGATTTTATCAGACGAAACAATCATAATTTAAGAAGTGCGATGATTCCTGGTTAACCTAGTTTTATTGGTTTGTGTTCAGTCACTGTTTGATTAATTTACTTACCATTCTGATTACTAATGTAATCCCATTAATATGCCTGTTAAATAAAAGCCCATTAATTTACTAATATATGTAATATATATATATATATATATATATATATATATATATATATATATATATATATGAGCAATATCACACGAGTAGCAGTGCGATATGGCTGTATATCGGCACTGGTGGGAGGCGTGCGATGGCATTATATTATATATTTTATATATTGCGTTTATACAACAGTTTGACGGCATAATTGTGTATATAAAAGCAAAATCAAACATGGAGAGTCTCAAAAACACTTTTGTATGAGGAACTACTTTCTTCCGCGTTGGATTCAAATCATAAGCTGACAGTTAAACAGCTAAGCAAGCATCTTTTAAACTCTAGATCTGTAGTGTCTGCTTTTTGCTGGCTGTATGTGGGCGGAGTAATACAAAAAGGGTAAAGAGGCTGCAGGAGTTCTGATATTGCAGAATATCGCACGGCTTTCAGCCAATCAGATTTGAGAACCAGACAGAACTGTTGTATATATATATATATATATATATATATTAAGTCTGAATTATTAGCCCCCCTGTTTATTTTTTCCTCAGTTTTTTGTTTAACGGAGAGATTTCTTCAACACATTTCTAAAAATAATAGTTTCAATAACTCATCTCTAATAACTGATTTATTATATCTTTGCCATGATGACAGTAAATAATATTTTACAAGATATTCTTCAAGACATTTAAAGGCTTAACTAGGGTATTTAGGGTAACTAGGCAGGTTAGTGTAATTAGGCAAGTTATTGTATAACGATTGTTTGTTCTGTAGACTATCAAAAAATGTATAGCTTAAAGGGGCTAATAATATTGACCTTAAAATGGTGTTTAAAAAATTTAAAACTGCTTTTATTCTAGTCGAAATAAAACAAATAAGACTTTTTCCAGAAGAAAAAATATTATCATACATACTGTTAAAATTTCCTTGCTCTGTTAAACATTATTTGGAAAAAATTTTAAAAAGAAAAAAAATATTTAAAGTGGGGCTAATAATTCTGACTTCAACTGCATAAGAGAAAACATACTGATCGGGTTCTAGTTTCTGTAAATAGTCATTAATATTTGATCTTTGCTCCACAGATCTGGTGCTGTGGTGAATAATGCACCGCTTTACAGCTTGATCAAAGCTCCGGGATCATAAACTGGATTGAAAGTGAAGCTTGATTACATTTACTGCAGAGGATTATAATGAATTAACCACGTCAAGTCACATCAGGAACAGTCCACTCAGCTTTATCAACTTCTCCTGGCTGTTGACTGTCTTTAGCAAGTCATGGTCAGATTTAGCAACACTGCAGACTAGAAGCATTTCTTTGTGGTTATTTACATCAGTGTGTCTTCATAGACTGTGGTTCAGTGTGTCAGAGAAGGAAATTACAGCATCTACTTTTTTACTTGCTTTGCTGATTTCTGTTAATAGCTTGCTTTGTAATGTTTTCCAAGATGTGGGAAATTTTCATGAATTGCTGCATTAATAGTGTTATTTTGCCATCATGTGACTTAGTTTCTCTCTCTCTCTCTCTCTGTCAAAATATGGAGAAAACCTGCTGCAGCATTTACAGAGTAAAGGTTGTTGCTAGAAGGGATACAGCTGAAGCCGGAGGTTTAAGAGAATTATTTATATTATTTATTAAATTATATTAATTATATATATTAAACCCAACCATCACAGTAATGTAAAAACAGCAATTAAACCAAGCATTGTTGATATTATTATGTATTACCTATTATATTATAATTTATTAATACCTGCCCCCATGACAACCCTAAACATAACTCTCACTGTAATGTAAAAATATGATTTATTATTGTACAGTGTCACAAAATGTATGCTATAGTGATGTATCCGCAGCTGTATCCCTTTTAGACTTTACCAATAAAGTTACAACAGTATATTTATTTTTGGAAAAAACAATTATTATACTTGTCCATATTTCACCCAAAATTGGGTGTAAATAACCCAGCATTTCTAAAGTATATAACTACAGTGTACGCATGTCTCATATGTTGATGTTTTTTAATATTGTGTATTAAAATGTTTCTTGTCGAAAGTTATTTGTTTGTGACATTATTTCTGACATTGTATAGAACCATGAAGAATGAAATTTCTGATTTATATAAGGCTAAACGCTGAGGATTTATTTTTAAAATCGGCCAAGCAGAAACAAACTTACTTAAAAACTAACTTTAGTGAGTTATTTCATAACATATTTTAATTAATGTGTCAAAACACATTACATACATTTTTTAATAACTTAAAAACTAAATGGGCGCCCAACAGACTAAAAATATTAGTTATGAATATAGTTTTCATTGTATAAGTTTATTGGTGATTGGATGTGTGTTGGATCCAGGGGCGCCCCCAAGGGGTCCACGGCCACCCCTGTGTAAACTTTCCACCCGAATATGATTTTTTTGTTGATATTATTAATTTAAATGTACTTAAGTAAATTCACAATAATTAAATAAATAAATAAACAGCAGCCTCTAAATTATTGTGGATTGATTGGAGCCACTAACATATCTGATTCACTCTTCTGGCCACCCCT